GGGCGGGCGTCTCTCTCTCTCTCTCTCTCTCTCTCTCTCTCTCTCTCTCTCTCACATTTACTTGGAGATATGGTTCTTTCCTTACTGTATCTATATAGGTATAGCTTTTTTCTTTAGTGCTAGATTTTGAACCATTGAATACAATGAGAATGTTTTATCTTTGGGAGCAAGCGAAAGGTCATGCATGCATAGGCTTTAAGATTCTAGAGTCCTGTGTTCCTTTATCCACCAGTAAATCAGAGCTCCAGCATTTCCACGAAATTTTTTTCCCGGCAGCAGCCTTCTAATCCTTTCTGTGACCTTCCTGCATTGAAACAGCATATTGGCTGGAAGTGGTGCTGAGATAAGTGATCACTTTTAATAACTTTTTTTACAAAAGAAGGATAGGGAGAAACAAATCCATGCTGATTCTTGAGGCATCCAGCTCTAATTTTTCAGAAATTCCTCAAATCTCCTGCTATAAAGTAAAAAGGGTTTGAAATAATATCAGGGAATTGTCATGTTAAGAACCATGGTAATTTGGGTTTGGTGTCTTCTAAGTTACATCCAACTTCCAGTTGGAGTTTGCCTTTGTATAAAGACAGTGCAGCTAAAAACTAGTGTGTGAACCTTAATTTCCTCCAGAGCAACTATGAACAACTGAAGTTTGACCAATTATTCAGTGAAGGGAATGATGGCAGAAGGACTGTAGTCCTGCAATCCTTTATTTTTTCTGTCAGGAGGTGGAAGAGGTACAGTAGGTGGAGCTTCACCATTTCTTTCCTGGTGTCCAGGTAGTGACCCTACTGATCAATGTCAAAATAAGAACTTTGGCATCATGGTATGTAACTGTTCACTCATTCCTTGTCTGGAAACCTACTCTTCCTATGTGGTGCCGATTTGGAGGAGAGCATGAGCAGGTTTTGTTCTGGTTGACCAGGGTTTAGCTGAAGAAACTATTTTACACTTGTACTGCAGTTTCGCTTTTCAGACCAAAGGACATAGAGTAATTTAACTATAGTCCCTACCACAAATAACAATGGCTCTGATTAAGGAGCATGGTGCCAGGAGCCAGAAAAGTTTGTGAAACAATAGGCAGGGGTCATGCAAAATGATGGGATCTAAATTAGCTGGTACCGCTCAAGACAGAGATCTTGAAGTTATCGTGGATAATTTATTGAAAAACATCTGCTTAATGTGCAGGAGCAGTCAAAAAGGCTAACAATGTTAGGAACCATTAGGAGAGGCATAGATAATGAGACAGAAAATATCATAATGCCACTACTTACATCCAGGATACCCCCACACCTTGAATACTGTGTGTTGTTCTGTTCTTCCCATCTCAAAAAGAAAAAAGAAAAAGATATGTTAGGATTGGAAAAGGTACAGAGAAGGGCAATAAAAATGATTAGGGGTATGGAACAGTTTTCATCAGAGGAAAGATTAAAAAGACTTGGACTGTTCAGCTTAGAAGAGAGACAACTAAGAATGTGATAGAGGTCTATAAAATCAAGAATGGGGTGGAAAAAGTGAAAAAGGAAGTGTTATTTACCCCTTCACATAACATAAGAACCAGGGGTCACCCAATGAAATTATTAGACAGCAGATTTAAAAGAAACACAATGCACAGTCAATCTGTGGAACTAGTTGCCAGAGGATGTTGTGAAGGCCAAAAGTATAACTGGGTTCAAAAAAGAATTAGATAAGTTCCTAGAGGATAGATCCATCAATGGTTATGAGCCAAGATGGTCAGGGATCCAGCCCATGCTCGCGGTGTCCCCAAACTTCTGATTGCCAGAAGTTGGGATTGGACGACGGGGTGCATAGGGTTACCATATTTCAGCGAGCAAAAAAGAGGACGGGAGGAGCCCCGCCCTAGCCCCGCCCCTGCCCCTCCCACTTCCCGCCCCCCCTGACCTCCC